CTCGTCCTCTGTCGTCCCCTTATCCTCTTGCCTTCACACTTTCCTAAACTAACATCAGCGTCTTTTCCAGGGAGTCTTCTCTCCTCATGAAATGGCCAAAGTATTGGATCTGTGGTTGTTGTGGGTTTTTCGGGCTCTTTGGCTGTGTTCTGAAGGTTGTTCTTCCTAACGTTTCGCCAGTCTCTGTGGCTGGCATCTTCAGAGGACAGCACTCTGTACTCTGTGCACAGAATGCTATCCTCTGAAGATGCCAGCCACAGAGACTGGTGAAACGTTAGGAAGAACAACCTTCAGAAGACAGCCAAAGAGCCCGAAAAACCCACAACAACCACAGATCCAATACTTTGGCCATTTCATGAGGAGAGAAGACTCCCTGGAAAAGACGCTGATGTTAGTTTAGGAAAGTGTGAAGGCAAGAGGATAAGGGGACGACAGAGGACGAGATGGTTGGACAGTGTCATTACAGCTACCAACATGAATTTGACCAAACTCTGGGAGGCAGTGGAAGACAGGAGGGCCTGGTGTGCTCTGGTCCATGGGGTCATGAAGAGTCGGACACAACTAAACAACAACAACAATGCAACAGATGAGAATTAGAAGTCAGAACCCCAGCTCTGGGTGGGCACGCCTGTGTGCTAATAAATCAGGAGAAAGAGAACTACTGAAATTTGAATCACAAGCTGCCACATTCTTGTGTTTGCAGGTTATGTGACAATTATTCCCTCTTTTACAGGAACTATATTTAAATCAAGTATTTTAATTATTGGAACTGTGCCAGCTTGGGAGCTTGTAATCTTGCCGTTACAGGGTTTGCAGTTGGGCAAGAGCACACGGATGGCGGTGATGGAACTAAATGCAGATAGATTAATCCAAACCTTTTCCTCTGTACACTGAACAGTCCAATTTAAATAGGATTTAAATCCCCCAAGGAAAGGCTTTCAAGCTGTTTTTAAGTTCCAGAAAAATAGGCTGTGAATAATTTTCCTTAATGCTGTGACTTGGAAGTCACTTATGTTCCCTCATCCTCTCTCTCTCTCTCTCTCACACATACACACACACACACCATGGCCATGGATCTGAGATAGTGTGACTGCACAAAACAGACAGACACACACACACACACACACAGAAAGAGAGAGAGAGAGACAGAATTCTGTATTTCCAGGAGTACTTATAGTACAAGACTGGCTCCAGATATCTCAAAGCCGGTTATGTTATACTGATACTTGAGCCTGCAAATCCCATAAACGGTTCTCACACAACCTCATCCTAGCGGTTATGACAATATACACAATTAACAAGGTTAATTAGTAAAAAATATGGCTACCTTTCTTGACACCAAAGAGGTGGCCACCTCACTCTGCCCAGTGGTAGGGCTGGGCCCATATGCATGTGTGTGTGATCCAGTTCACTTGCTGCTCTGGCATTGTGGATGGGAGGGCCATCCCACTGCTTACATTGAGGACAGGAAAGACATCCAATGGGTGGTCTAGAACAGTGGCTCTCGGCCTTTTCTTGGCATGGCCCTTTTAGGAGCTCTTCTCAGGTTCCAGGGCCTCTTGTCAAACAAGGAAAGCCTTTGGCTGTGTGCAAACAAGGGTACAACATAAAGAGATGAATCTGTGCCTTCCTTCAAATGTGCCAGGGGATCCCAAGGGGCTATACAGCTCCTATAGAGAATGGCTAGTCTAGAACTTGCAATGCAAAAGAGAAGATTTCTATATGATTAGTATCTGTATTAGTATTGTTAAAGTCAGGTAAGAATAGTTTTGAGACTCTGCAGAATAAGCAGAATTTGCCTGAGTGGGTTTATGAATTCTCAAACCAGAAGACAAGGAGTTTTCAAAAGATTTTGACAGATGTGGGAAAAGAACTTAAAAAACAAATATTAATGCCAGGCTTAAGATTTTTGCCATTGGAAGCCACGACATTGAATTTGCAAGTGACGAACAGGGCTGTTGATGATAGGACAACAGACTTGGGGAGAGTTGCTTGCTCATGGGGTGGCCATGGATCTGAAGTGATGTGACTGCACATAACAACCAAAGACATTTTTACATCTCTAAGAAATATTTAGCAACAGAAGTTTGCAAAATGGGACAGGTCTGAGACGAGGAAGCAATTACTGATGATGCCCTGCCTAGCCCTGTGCAGTCACTGTTTGCCTGTGCCAGTGACAGAGGTTGCATTAGCTAAGGGAAGGATTTCATCGCCCAGCAACAAAATATTTTGACTGATTTATTGTGTTTGTATTGTTCCTCCAATGTGTTAAGGGCAGCTGTCACCTCCCTCCTGCTACCACTTGATCCTTACATGCACACATATGCATGCACAGAGAGAGAGAGAGAGAGCCTAGGTTACATTGCACATGTTGTTCCCTGTCTCTTTTCTAGCCTATCTGGCCCTAGAACCCAGGTTTCCCTGAGTCAGGCCCAGCACTCTGTGCACTACACCACACTGGCTGCAGAGTCCTGAGAACACTGACCTCCTTCCGGTAGATTTGGAGCCTTGGAAAAGTGTAGCGAGTGAATGTGGAAGTCCTGCACAGGTGACTGTGTGGAAAGACGGCCATCTGAAGGTGAACTTGGAACTAGCAGTAATCAGTGTGTCTGAACTTCAGGGTGGAGAGAGGGTAAACCCCGGTTTCTCTTCATGGGCAAGTGGTTGAGTTCCAATAGACCAGTAGCTCTACTGCCTGTTGGGTGCTGAGATTCCTGCAAAGCATTTTGCCTTAGGTGGGCCTTTGCTGACTCACAGAGGTGGTACATTTTATCTTAACAAAAAGTGCATCGTACTCAGCACCTCCAGGGTTGAGTAACACATGGTCCTCCAGACGCTATTTGATTGTATTGCACATCATCCCTTGTCATTGATTGTACTGATCAGAAATGGTGGCAACTGAAGTCCACAAGGCCACACATTCCCTGATCCCTATGTCAACTGTGTTAAAAAAAAAGAATTCTAGTTCCCGAGTATCTGCTCTTGCTTTATAGATTTAGCATACACTATAGAGCATGAGGGCTCTACCACAAGAAATGCCAGCATATTAAGTTACAAAGAAATAGAATGATAAAGTCACTTCACACAGTACACTGAGAATTTGTGTGCATCTGCAGGATGGAGAGAGGTGTATTAGGAGTCCACTGATTTTACCCATAACGCACATGCTGTATCATGGAAATGAAACCTGTTGTATGTGCAAGATACAAACTGCAGGATGCTAACCACAAATATTTAAACTCAGTTACAGATTGGTGTTTGCTAAATATTCTATAGAGTTCTGACCGTACCCAGAATATTTTTTAAAAGAAAAACTCCTAGAATTAAGCCGGCAACATGGCCAATTGGCCTGTTGGTTGGGCAGTTCTGCAAGCTGAGGTTCAAAAAAACCTTCTTCCAACCTCTTCACCAAAGAACCTATCCTCTGTAAACAGAACCTGCTGGAGGGGGGGAGGGAGAGACTGCTGGTGCCCCCTCTCCCAGGATGACCCCACTTCCGTTTAAATTTGAGGCCAGGTCAGGAAGTAAAACAGCTGACATTCATACTCTGAGCTTTTCTTAGGGTAGACTGAATGATATCAGCACAGCAGAAATGTTGTGATTCAGAGGGACAGTAAGGAAAGATTGTGGTATTTTATGTAAAACTGCTCATTACAGGGGATGTTAATAGCAGCCGATAACCAAAATAGATTTCACAACTGGTGTATTAATCAGATTTTGTTTTACTGTTTGGTCTGGACAGTGACATTTTTCAGGTAGACCCTCATCCTCTTCCCTACCCCCACTCCAAATTATTCCCACTTCTTCTGCTAGATCTGCTGTGCGTATTATTTTTTATCCCTTTTCCTTCACTAGCCCAGTTTCTTTAAGAAATAACTCCAGGATGTATGCTCCCCCTCTCCCCATGGCAGCATTATAGCCTCCCTTCTTTCTGGTTGCCTTTCTGTTCTCACCTCATTTCACTTCACCCCCCTTCCTTCCTGGTGGGTAAGATGTGTTCCACTGTTTTTGCTCTATAAAACATCATTGAATGTTCAAACAGACTTGCAAACCTTCTTGTCCTCACCTGTATTATTTATATTACTCTCATGGGTTTTCATTCAAAACATTTTTTAGGAGATATCCCTTAAGTTGTGCTGGTTAGATCAAGAAAGGGAACACCTTTAGGTCTCCATTGTTTCAGATTACAATTATCAGGAGCCACAGCCAGTGTGAGTTTGTGGGAGTTGTAGTCCTAAAGCATCGACAGTGTCTTCCCCTGAGCTAGAGCATAGGTTGGTTGGTGGAACTGCCCTGTGTTCACTTCTCCCCCTTTCTCTCTTTTCTCCCTAGTATTCTCCAAGTATGCGAGCAACCTATCTATCGGTTAATGATGATCACAGGCGACAGTTCGGCAGCGAATTTCCAGCCTAGCACTCACCTTGTAGAGAAAAACCCACAAACTATGTTGCTATAGCGGAACCTAACCACCACCGGAGTCACATGGACTGCAGGGGAAAGAGGGCGACCTCCCTCCACAGTGAAGTGGCGGAGAAGGGTGCTTGGAAGAGGGGCGTCAGCAGACGAAGAAGCTCACTGGCCATCTGGAGAGTCATCCAGGGAAGTGACCCCGTGTGCTCGACTGGCAGCTTTTCCCTCTGAGTCATTAGTCTTCCTCTTTTGCACACATAGGACGGGTGCCCAGGGCTTCCATCCCCAGAGCAGAAGGCTCTGAAGTCTTCTCCTCAAATCATCCTCTCCTCTCTCCCTCTTTCTCCCCCTTCTTCCCATCTGTGTGTTGTCCTCCCCAGCCTTTTTTTTGGGTGGGGGGAATAGGATTTGGACCGCCCTGTGTTCATGCACAGAGAATAATTTCCTGTTTGGGGTTTTTCCCTGCACTGATTTCCAGGGCAGGGAAACTCTTTTTTTGTCCGTTGATCATGGTGGTGTTTGGACTACCTTTTTTTTTAAAATTAAGAGCAAATACTAAGACCAGTACACTGTAGGGGTGAACAAAGCACCAACATGTGGTGCACAATGACCGAAGGGGAACGGGGCACATGCAGTGGCAGAGGATGCTCCTGAGTTAAAGTGTAATGTCAGACACTAGCATGAATTTCATTTCTTCCCTTTGGTGAGGCCTCTGCAGAAGGCCTACAACTGGCTTGGCACTGTGCTGTTTTATCATCCTCCTCTTCTTCATCGTCCTCCTCCTCATGCTTTCTGACAGCACCTGTTTGGTGTCCATGGTACGAGTTCCATGCATAGCATTTCCCCCCTTGTCATCTGTTCCTTTGCTCCTAAAATGAATATAAATTCACCCGTTATTGCTGTGGTGGCCTCAGGTATTATTTGGAACAAACTGATATTTCTGTTTTCTTCAGTATTTTATTTTATTTTTGTTTTGTGTATTTTTTTTCCTTCAGTGTTTTATATCAGCTATCCAAAGAACATAACCTGTTTAAAATTCTTTTTACAGGATTTTTATTACTGATTACATGTTTTGATATGTATATTTGTATGACTATTTTGCAATTTGACTTCTGTTTTTAGCACTGATTTTTTTTTTCCTCAAAGAAGAAATGAAAAGAAAAAAAATTATTTCCCAAGGTAGTGGAATAGCGTTATCTGCGCGTGGTAAAACTGGGACTCATTCAAGCATTATCTTTTCTTATTACTGCGGGTGGAGGTGGGGAGGACCAGAAAGATTGGATTGGTACATAATAGGGAGCTGTTGGCTTTAGAGTGGTGCTAGCAGTATTTTTGTGGGGGTCATAACAGCAGAGATGTTTTTTCTTTCACTAAACCAGTGGTTCCCAACCTTTGGGTCCCCAGATTTTCTTCAGCTACAACTCCCAGAAATCCTGGCTAGTAGTGGAGACTTCTGGGACTTTTCGTCCAGGAACAACTGGGAACCTAAGGTTCTGAACCACTTAACTAAATGGACAGCACACCATTAACAATGTACAGGTTCTTTAAGACGCTCATTCTTTCCTTTTATGTCAAGGATGGGGAGCTCATAACCTCCCAAATGTCACTGGACTTCTAACTCATTCCTCACCGTTGCCTGAAATTGTCTAGTACTGTTGGAAGTTTTAGTCCAATATCTGGAGGACCCCATATCCCCCCCTTCCCTGTTCTATGTCATGCTTATATTGTATTCAAATACGTATTCTCAACATATAACTAAATTAATGTTTAGAAGGAATGTGGGAAGAACTCTTGGTTAATTCTTTGTTCTTCTCAATTGACATGGTCTCGATATGACAAGATGCTTAGAAGAAGAATTTCCAAGCCCCCTGAGATTCCTTGCTACCAGCATACATTCAAGAAGAGAGCTGAAAACCAGTTGTGTAGAGTAATAAGTTTCAACTCCAGGAAGCCCACTGAATCAGTGGAGATTTTGTTGAGTCAACTCCTCCGAAAGTTCTGTTGATTCAGTGGACCTAGTCTAGTTACAACTGAGTACACTACAGGATTTCAGCCAAGGAGTACTTCTCCCTCTCCCCATCCCCATCAAGGTTTTTGGTAATTTACGTAGAATATTCTCTGAGGCAGGCTACACAAAGCTAATGTTCTTTAAGAAACAAAGCACACATACACATGGCAAGCACAGAAGGAAAGAACCTTCGAGGCTTCCGATGTTTAAAAGTCCAGGAAACAAAGTTGTGAAGCTGTCTTAGTCAACCTCGCACAACTTGGGCAGGTTATGCAAATTACAAGTCCATGGTATTAGAAAATACCACACCCTCTTAAAAGGCAAGGAATAAAAAAAATGCAATTCTTTATCCTTGCCTATGAAGGTAAGACAACCCAGGATTTATATCCATGTTAAAAATGCAATGGCCAATGTCTTCCTACTATAGTAGACCCGTTTACTTAGTGGGATTCACATTAAGTGTTATTATTCAGCAATTGATTCAGTGGGTCTGTTCTCTAGTTGAGACTAGTAATAAGCTACTAGCCAATGAGCTGAATCCAGTGGTAGTCCTACCTTGAGTAGACCCATTAAGTCAAAGTTTGATGTGGACAAAGGTCCCACTGATTTCTTTGGGACTGCTCTAGGTAGGATTAACTCTGGGTTTAGCCTGATACCAAACTGTTTGGGGCTTAACTGCTGATGTGATCATCTTGTGTTTTCTGTTGCATTGAGACAGACCCAGTGTTAGCACCTGGTGGGATCAGGCAAATACCTGGGTCCTGGCTGCGGTAAGCAGGGATGTCACTGTGCCATTTCTGCCATTTTTATGTTGTAATGGTACTTCAGTAGAGATAAAGTATATAATACATGGCGGCCACAGAAGCTTTCAGGATAAGGAACTCAGTTGGCAGCAGTGACTGCAATCCCCTCCCTTAGTGCTCCTCTTGACAGCACTGGGTTGGGAGAAAACTGGGTGTTAGGAGCTGCACTGCTCTCAGCACCACTACCTATAGGTGCTCACCAGTTAGCAGGCTGTGGAGGGAGGGGCATCAGGGCCTTGCTTAGAATGTGGGGCTAGAGGGCATCTTACGCAGGATCCCAGAAAACCTGGCATCAGCCCTGCACAGGGGAAAATTCAGGCTCAGAAGAGATGAGGTTAGCTTACAAAGGAATCAGAAAGGTTGAGTTGACTTACAAAGAAATTCCGTTTGAGAAGCATTGTTCTTAAAGCACTACTATTGATAAACCATTACCTTTCATAAACTCTTCTCTATTTTCTGTTGCAATGACGGGTCTGTAATAGTGGTAAACCAGAGTTATTCATGACTGCATTGATGACGAGTACATTTTGGCTGTCAGGAGAAACAGACCCTGATTCTCCCTCCAGTGTTGGAGTGAGGAATCCTCATGAGAGAGGAATAGAGAGAAGGAGAGATGTCCTGTCTATGCTGGATTTTGGGGAATAGGAGAGAGATGCCTTGAGGAAAGAAGGTCAAAGCACGTCCAAATGGATGGACTGAATGTCCTTTCATCCTGAACTCCTCCAGCGCTAAACTCTTATTAGTCTAATTTCAGCATTTGCTACTACAAGCATGTAATGCGTTTTAAGTCAGTGAGGTTGAATTTACATAGGCTGCATTGAATTTTCTCAATGAGGTGCTCAAATTCTCATACTTTAGACATTATTGGGAGATAATAATACTGTAATCTTAGAATTGCAGGCCTGGAAGGGACCCTATGGATCATCAGGTTCAGCCCCTGTCGAGGAAGCACAGTAGGGGAATCAAACTCCCAGCCTCCGGCTCTGCGCTCAGATGCCTAAACCACTGACCTATCCAGCAGTTCATAAAGCAATATATGTGTACATGAGGAAGCACAGTAGGGGAATCAAACTCCCAATTTCTGGCTCTACGCTCAGATGCCTAAACCACTGACCTATCCAGCAGTTCATAAAGCAATATATGTGTACATATACACTCAAACATGCAAATGGGAACAAAGGACCGATGGCCCTACCCACCCCAGCACAAAGAACCCAGGAAACATGATCAAATCTCGGGGCTGTACATGAGGCTTCCCGGGTGGGCCTCGGTCTTGGATAGTGACATTTGGATGGTGGTGCATTCAGAACAGCTTCTGCCAGCTGCTACACAGGAGCTATCAGCACTGATAATTGCAGAGGTACAGAGCTTCCCTTCCTTAGCATCCCATGCCACACAGTGGCTTTAATTACTTGACAACAATGATTCATTGTGGTTTTTTTTACTAAGAATAACTTGTACATATCATGTATGGCAACATAATTTGTAAACTCATCTTACATATGATTGACTACAGCATAAGGCATGGGGAGGTGCACACAGTGATTTTATGCTTTTAATCGTGTCATTGTAACACAAAAGTGTTTTTTTTAAAAAAAAAAAAAGAGCATGTGAACTAACCTCATCTCCGACTCCTTTGGAGCTCTGCCTGATTTGTATATACCGACTGGGAAACTAATAATATTAAAGACTTCTACTAAAAGGTGACCTTCGGTTGTCTGTGTTGTTTTGCTTTTTATACATCATGTCCAAATTTGCTGCTGCTTCGTAGTTCTCTAGACCAGTGGTCCCCAACCTTGGGCCTCCAGATGTTCCTGGACTTCAACTCCCAGAAATCCTGGCCAGCAGAGGTGGTGGTGAAGGCTTATGGGAGTTGTAGTCCAAGAACCTCTGGAGGCCCAAGGTTGGGGACCACTGCTCTAGACCATGTATGGAATGTCCTTGTTGACTGCCATCCCTTTGTCTAAATACATAGAGAAAGACATTTGCCATGGATGCCATTTTTCAAGTGTATGGCTTTCATTTTGGGACGCTTTAACTCAGCGCCTGACACTGCAACATCTGGTCAGGAGGCATTTTGGACCATTCCCTTTTTCCCTCTCACCCCCTCAAGCTGAGCTGGAAGAAGGCTCCCTTTTCACACTAAACTTCTCCTGTTCTTATGACTTATTAAGAGCTTGGATTTGGGGGGAGGGTTGTTTGTTTGTTTGTTTCAGTGGTAAATCATAACTGATTCCAGTGCCAGCTTTCTGCACTGAATTGTTGCTCCACGCTCTCTCACTCTCTCTGGCTTTGGAGCAAGGGAGAGTTTGCTTTTAAACCGCTTGGTAGTCTCTGTGTTAATCAGAGGTTGGGCCACCCAAAATGGCCAACTGTAAAATCAGAACAAGCATTTGTTTGATGCTTTTTGTCATCTAAAACATAAAGGTTCCCCATGACAATTTTTGTCCAGTCGTGTTCGGCTCTAGGGGGCGGTGCTCATCCCCGTTTCCAAGCCATAGAGCCAGCGTTTTGTCCGAAGACACTCTTCCGTGGTCACATGGCCAGTGCGACTTAGACACAGAACGCTGTTTTGTCAGAGACCAGGTGAGTAGTTCTGTGAGGCGGGCTACGAGGGCCTTCTGTGGAGGAAAGATAAACTGCACAGTTGACAGAATCCCAGGCCACAGCTTTTCCTGGGCAGCACCCCTTTATGCAGGGAGTTGTGCGTTTGATTTGTGCAGCAC